GTGAAATTTTCACCAGTTATTCAAATCAACAGCAACAGCTGCTGCTGCTGCTGGCTGAACAAACAAAACAGTCAACACAAAAAACGGAAACCGTTAAAGTCAAATAACAAAGACAACAAACGTTACACTGAGAGAAAAACAGGCGAGTATTACAAACCTGCAGGCAATACCAAACCTGGAAGTTTACAGGGCTTACTTGATCGAAAAACTTGATTCAAGTATTAAATTCTTTATTTATTTTTATATTTATTAATTAGAGCAAGGCAACGAAAAAAACTTGATTTAAGTATAAAGTTCTTTCTTTAAGTATGTGTAAAATTTTTTGACACACATCTGGAAAAAAATTATTAAAATCGTACGAAAAATCTTGATTAAAGTATGCAATTTTTTTTAGTTTGACTTTTTTGCTACTAAAAACCTAGATTCAAGAATACAATTTATGTACACACAGCTTGAATTAAGTATGCAATTCATAGTTTAGGTATAACTTTTTATGTTAAAAAATCTTGATTAAAGTACAACAATCTTATGACAATTTTAAGAACTGTAAACATGTTTGCATAATGAAGTTGGACTTTTTCAGCACAAAAAAAAACTTGATTCAAGCATAATATTTTTGTTTCTAGCATGAATTTCTATGTGCATAGAACTTGATAAAACTATGAAAGACTATTATTTAAAGTGACTTGCTGCTTGACTCAGGAATTTAATAACTTATTTAAAATGAAGTACAAATTGATTTAAGTACCTTTATACTTATTTAAGGACGATTGAGAACTTGTCTGAAATCAAGTGAGAATTGGTGAGAATTTTTTTATGAATCAAAGAAGTGCGCACAATGCTTGTAAATAGATGCACATTTTTCTTTCAGTGTACTTTTCAAATCGCTTTCAAATTGTTCAAGTTGCTGTTGTTGTTGCTGCTCTTCGTCCCGCTGCCTTTGTTAATGAGCCGTGCGCCGTTGTTTACCCGCTCTGCTGGCCCACTCGAAAGCGAAGATCAATGGAGTCAAGCCAAGACCATGTTGCTACCAAAACTCAAATGTTGCTGTTGTTGTTGCTGTTGTCTACCACTTTCGTTGCTACTGTTGTTGATTTTGAAGCTTTGAGCGATTTTTCATTGGAATAGAAAGTGAATTGAATTTGTTTTCAGCTGCGGCCTCTGCCTAGTCTCTTGTTGTTGTTGTTGTTGTCCCATTGCTCTTGAGTCGCAGTCGTCTTCAATGAAAACAACATTTGTTGTCAAAAATTGGACCATGTCAATGACCTTTCGCCTGGCCCACAGCAGTGAGAGTGTTTTGCTGTTTGTATTTTTTCCGATTTTTTTTTTCCGCTTGGAGAAAAGCGCTGGCAGTTGTTGTGGTTGGCTAATGGATTTTTCTCGAATCCAAGTGAAAATTGTGCACATTCAAATAAGCACACGAAAGCTGACTGAGAGGCGATATTTCATTTATTAAAAAAAAAAATATCAAAGAAAAAACTTTTTTGAAAAAATTAAGCTGACAAGTAGAAGACTTTTAAGAGTTTTTTGGATGCGTTGGAAAATTGTGCAAGGAAAATGTAGAAAGCATACAAAAATCAACTTTATTTATGCAGTACAACATTTAAAAGGATTTTTCCCGAATGCAAGTGAAAATGGTGTACACTAAAAAAAAAATCAAATGAAACGTAAGAGAAAGACATATTCAATTAATTTATATATAAACAGAAACAAAGAATTACCTTATAGCATAAAACTAAAAAAACAAAAGAAGATTTTTTTAAGTTTCGAAAATTTTAATAAAATATTCAAAAGGAATAATAATGTTTTTTATCAGAGAATCAATTAATATAACAAAACAGAAGCTAACAAAAAATATAACAAACTTTTCAAATGAGAGATGAATAACAAAAACTGGGAAAGAAAAAAAAATTATATGAAAAAAATTGGATTTAATTAAGTAGAATACAAAATACTTTAAGTTTTTAAACTTATATTTAAGTAACAATTTTAGGGCATTTTTTTAGTAGGCACAGTTTAGCATTCGTTTTTAAATATGATTTATAATTTATACAAAATACATAGAGTTACGTTTGTTATATTTATATATATTATATTTTTATATTTATATATTTTTTCTATATGTAAATTTGCATTTTGAAATATATAATAAAATCAAAAATTAAAAATAAACATGCAGAGATATATGTAAACATACATGTACATATGTATATAGAATACAGATGCATATGTATTGAGTAGCACACACATACATACGCATGCATATATCTAGTAGAAGCTCGCACCCAAAATCTAGTCATAGGGGGTTTCCCTCTATATATATATATTAAAATCGTATCCTGTTGCCTTTTGTCGCTTTAACATTTATTTTAAGCTCAAGAGATTTCTTTTAAAAACGCTGTAAATTAAATAAAATAACTTACCAACAGCTCGTGCCACAATAAGCAGACGACAACAACTACAATTAACAGTTTGTTCACCTTTCGCCTAATTATCAAAATAAATAAATATATATATATATATATTTATGAATACAAAGAAAAAAGTAAAAAATTGAGCTACAAGACGCGTGCACCGGCAGCGCTGACTGCGACTGCGACTGCGACGCAGCGAGCCGGCAGAGTCGACAACTTCAATGAAATCAATTTTACGATAATAATTTTTTGAAAGCACAACAACAACAACAACGGCAACAACAACAACAACATGAACAACGGCAACTGTGTAGCCGAACCGCTTCATAAACATTGAATCAGCGCCAGACCCCAGCGCGGTACCGTTGGAAATTTCTTGCTTTTTCTTTTCTCAACGTATGTATATACACACATACGGGCACATTTATAAAATGTTGTATTTGTATGCGTATTTCTTTTTTTTTCGTTGTTATTGTCTTGCAAAAATGTAGGTCAAGTTATATGGTGAGTATCTCTCTCTCTCTCTCTCTCCCACTCTGTGCGTGTGTGTGTGTGGGACGCTGACAATTTGGTACAGACAGTTCCAGAGTCGGTCAGTTAGTCAGTCGTGCTGGGCTGGGGGGCGGGGGGCGGGTCGCTGCGGTGCGGTGCGGCAGGTGGGCCGCGCAGACTTTTCTAGTCGCTGCATCCCAGGGCAACTTTCACTTAGAAAGTTCTGCTTGCGGTTATGGCCGTTGTTTATGTTGATTTTTTTTTCGGCTGCTTTTGAGGGTGCCATAAATGACAAGTTAATATTGTTGCGGCTGTTAAACTGGGTCAAGACGTGGGCCTGGGAAACGACGATCAGCACGACGATTGCGCAGATAAGCAAGCGATCAAATGTTCAAGCGCTCAAGCGTTCAATATGCTTGCACTTCATGTGCGCTTCTCGTATTAATTGCGTTTTCTTGTTGTTTTTGTTGTTGTTATTTTTGTTTTTTTCAATGCAAAACGCGAGAGCTTTCCGTTAGGCCAACCTTGGCAGCAACAGCTGCTCTAGCACACACTCTCTCTCTCTCTCTATCGCGTGTGCTCTCACTAGATTTCCCTGAACTTCATGCCAAAAAGCTAACGTGTCTATTTTTAGCGCAACACATCCGCGTCGTGCGGCTGCTGCTGAACTTCCTGTTGCAGCAGCTTACTGAGCGCGAGCTTTTGCTCTCTCGCTCTCTCTCTCTCGTGCGCTCAGAATGCAAGTTCTGAATGCATATGCATTGAGTGTAAAGCTGCTCAATGATATGCGTGAGTGTGTATGCGACAGAGAGAGAGAGAGAGAGAGAGAGAGAGAGAGAGAGAGAGAGAGAGAGATATGGAGATGCCGTTGTTGTTTGTGTTGTTGTTGTTATTATTGACCTAATCACTTGTGGAGCACAAACGAACATTGAACTTTTACTTCCGCATGCAATTTAATGCACGCGTTGTTGTTGCAGTTGTTGTTGTTGTTGCAGTTGTTGTTGTTGTTGTTCTATTGATCATTTTGCCATTTTAGCCGGCAGCGACCGCCCAGTGACATTAATTAATGCACACAGATTCATCAAATATGCGCTGCCCGTTCGGAAAATCATATTTTATGGCCCCAGCGGCAATTTGTCTGCGACAGGCCCTAGGATCAGCTGCAACTGTGTGCGTGTGTGCCTGTCCGTGTGTGTGTGTGTGTAATTAAATGCGACAATTTGTTGCGCCTGTAGGGTATCTCGACGCCCAACATAGCCCATAAGAAAAATCGGAATAGTTTTTGTTTGTTTTAAATATGATTTCTTTTAATATTATATTTTTATGTGTGTTTGTTTTTGTGTAGGATTTTTGTTGTTGTATAAATAACATACACTTAAATGCTACAAATTGTTTATATTTAATAATTTTTACACATAAATCAAAGAAAACGCTAAGCTTAGGAAAAACGTTGCAAGAAAAGTTGAAAATGATAAATAATAAATATGTAATTTCGTTGTTTTTGCTTTTTTCAAGATTGAAACTTTTGAAAATGTTGGCGCATAAATATGACACTAAATTTAATACTTTTTTTCGCATTTCTTCAGAAACAAAACTTTTGATAAATATATCAGATAATAATAATATATTTATATAGCATACATGTGCATGTGTATGTGTGTGTGTGTGTATGCGATACGAACAGTGCTGCCAATCTCCAAAAAAAAAAATCTAAAAATAGCTAAATAGCTGAATAAGCTAGCAGAGCACAAAATCAGCTGAAAAGCTCAACTGTGCTCTGCTAATAGCCAAATTTAGCTGGAAAATAGCCGAATTGGCAACACTGGCCATGATTTAGGATAAATTGTGTGCAGCAATTATCGCTTCTTGTTTTTTTTTTTTTTTGTGAACAACTCAATGAACAGTTATTTAATTTAAATAATAATAATAATAATAAATAATTTATGTATAATAGTAATTATGCATATGTATATATATATATATAAAAAAAAGTACTAAATACAAGGAAAATTGTGGCTGGCTACTTTCTGCGGCGCCGGCAGCTGGAAGTCTCCTCGCGGCCGCGCAGGCGCAACCAACGCGCGCCCCCAATCATGTCCAGAATTTTGGATAGTTTTGTTGTTGTTGTTTTTTGGATAAGGCAAAGGCGGTGTTTGGATGTGTGGGCGTGGCGGCGCCTAGTACTGCCCGGTGGGATCCAGCGCCAGCTGCCGCTGCTTGTGGCGCGTGTCACGCGACTCACGCGGCCGCCGATAGGTGCCCGTTGGATCCAGATCGAGCATGTTGCTGTTGCTGCTGTTGTTGTTGTTGTTGTTGTTGTTGTTGCTGCTGCTAGCGAAAAGTGTGACCAAAGCTGGCAATGCTAGTAGGTGCCAGTGGGATCCAAAGCCAGCGACATTTTTTTTAGCGTTTTTTATTGTGGTATTCAAATTCTTTTGGAAAATTGGAAGCTTTAGTATTGGCCCGTGGGATCCAGGTAGGCGGCCATGGCTGGGAATTTGTGTGTAACTGTTTAAGCAGCTGATAAATGTGTGGCTAATTTGATTGTTATTAATATTGGCCGGTAGGATCCAGGTAGGCTGCCATTTGTATGCCGTGTAATTGAACAGAAATACACGAATGATATCAACACGAATTTATTCGACCTGCTGCTCCTTTGTTTTATTTAAATTCTGGTTCTCTGGTCAGATGTTGTTGTTGTTGTTGTTGTTGTAAGTTCTTTTATTATCACCAGTTGTTATTGACTGATTATACAGCAAAAGAGCGCGCGTGTGTGTGTATATATGTTTATATTTAGCTTTTTGTTGCTCTTTTTCGTTTTTTTTTTTTGTCTATATTTTCTTTGTGGTTATGATCGAGTCACTGACACTTAAAATCCATTAAATACTTTTGTTGTACGCTCTTTTACTGTTTATATAATTTAAGCGGCTGACTAGCCTGGCTTATTGTTCTTAATTTGTTTGCTTTTGCTTATTAAACCGTGCAAAAAGATTGTCTCTATTTTTATTTTATTTGAATTTTTGGCGTTAATCAAGCTAGAATACAGCCAAAAAAAAACTTCACAAGTTATTTAAACAATACAAAATCTGTGAGTTCGCCAGCGATTTGAACTTTGCTCTGATCTGCACACGTCGAACGTTGTCGATCTTATGATTCAAGACGTTGTCCATACAGCGTTATTTATATGAATCTGAGCGCGTTGCCACGAGAGAGCGTCAGCGAGAGAGCGAGTGGGAGAGCGCGCGCTACGCACACAGAGAGAGAGAGAGGGAGAGAGAGAGAGAGAGCCTGAGCCAGTCGGAAGCTTAATCGACTCGTCGTCGACGCTGTGCAGGCGCAAAAGAGAGCGCAATAGAGCTGGGCAGGTGTGTGCCGTGCTCTTAGCTGTTGCTCTTGAAAATTGGCACAGCGCGCGCGAGAGCGAGAGCGGCGGCAAAAATTCATTCATAAACCTCTCTCACTCTCGCGCGCGCTCTCTTTATGGCTGACTAAAGGCATGAGGGCAAGACGCTCACGCACACACACACGCGCAACAGACACACACGCACACATATGGCCGCCTCCGCCTGGGTTTCATTCAGAAAACAGCTGTTTTTGTCAAACTGCGACACGATCGAGTGCCCTCGTTATGCTGCTGTCGCTGTGTGTGTGTGTGTGTGTATGATTATCTTGTATGTGTGTGTGTGTGCGTGTATGCTAGGCAGGTAGCGCGCTTGCCTATTGGTGCATTTTCATTGAGATCCTGCCGCTAGGCTCCACCCACAGCTAATTGATCTTTAGCCGTGCCAAATGACTTGGCCAAAAATGTATTTAGTGCGTTGTTTTTTATTTTGCCGGTCAACAAGTAGCCCGGCAAATACACATGTTAACTGTTTGTCGTCGCCGACTGAACCTGGCCAAATACCCCCCATAAGCGGCAAATTAATGATCTGTGAGCCGCAGCTTGACCACGGCGACAGCCGCTGCCCACTTTACGTGACATTTGACAGTGGCCTAAGCCGCCGCCGTCGCCGTCGCCGTCGCCGTCGCCGTCGCCGTCGCCAGGGCAAGGCTTAAGCCGGGCAGCCCATAAAAAGGATAAACGTGCGGCATGAGTCAGCGGAACGACGCATGCTTCCGCGAAATGCGATGCCGCAGAGGGCAGACTCGGCAAAAAACAAGGCATGAGCACTCTAGCCGGGCGTGCTCGACTAGCAGCTACCCTGAGAGCCCAGCGTCAAGTGGCCTTTGCAAACAAAAAAAAACAACTAGATTAAGTTCGGTATAGTCTTCATGATATTACAGGCCTCCTTCTATACATGTGTACATACAATAAACAAATAACTAAGTAGATTAACTTTGGTGTTCAAAGTCCGATCCTTATGATATTACAGGACTCCTTCTTCGGTGCTTATAGTCCGATCTTTATGATAGTACGGGCCTCCTTTTATGCATGCATTCAAAAAACAAACATCTAGCTTGACTTCGCTGCTTGAAGTGCGATCATTATGATATTACAAGCATTCCATGCTCCTTTTATAAATATATACATATACTCAAAAAGAAGCTTCTAGAATAGCTTCGGTGCTTATAGTCCGATCGGTATGTTATTGCAAGCATTCTAGCCTACATTTAAATATTCAAGCCTTCGGTATTTAAAGTCCAATCTTTATGCTATTACAAGCATTCCAGTCTCCTTCTATATATATAACAAACATCTAGATTATCTTCGGTGCTCAGAGTCCGATCTTAATGCATACATACAAGAAAATGAACATCTAGGATAACTTCGGTGCTTATAGTCCGATCTGTATGAAATTGAAGGGCTTTTAATTTGTAAAGGCAAGTGTGCTTATGCCTAGTCGCCGGGCTCAAGTGAGTTTCATTTTTAGGGGGAATGGAGTTGTATTTAGAAAGTGTTATGCACTTATATAATTTATGAGAATCTATATATAGTAAAGATTCCGAGTCTTTCCAGCTTGTGTAGATGTGTTTGATCCATGCGATCACATAGATAGACATATATGTTCTCAGCTCGACGGCCTGATATAGAATTAAAACTAATCTATATTTTATAAGATCGGAAATGCTTCCAGCTGCCACACAATATACCCCATTTTAATCAAAGGGTTCAGGGTATAAAAGTCTGGCAAATTAAAAAAAATAAAGAAATAAGCAAAAAATGTTGCAGTATTGCAGTTTTCCGCCTTTATTTTTTTTAGCCCAAAAAACACGAAATAAAGGACATGTAAGTCAGCTGGCGCAGCAGTTTCTCAAGATACAATGGGAAATATAAATCCTTTCGTTTTATTGCAGCCAGCCAGTTGACACTCAAAAAGGACTTCCGGGTCTGTTGCCGGGCACGCGCCGCCAGCCAATCCTTTGTGGCACGAGCTGGCGCTCCAGAGGAGCAGCAGCAGCAGGAGGCGGAGGAGGGGTAGACTCTTGAGTGCCTGGGCGTGGCAGCAGCAGCAGCAGCTACTTGGCCTAATGCATTTTCGCCGTTAGCCTGTTTGCCCAGTTTTTACCTGAAAGCGAACCCCAATTTGGATAACTTCTGCTGTGACCGGATATGCGGCTGAGTTTTTTTTTTTTGGCGCTTCCGTTTTCACTTTTCGTACAGTTTTTCCTTTCTATTTTTTAACGCTATCGAATTCGTTGCGGCTCGCACCTTTTGTCTTTTGGCCACGTGCCACATGCAGGAAAATTGGAAAACGCATCCAACATTTGTTGGCACAACTGTCTCTCTCCCCTCCCCTTCCCCCCTCGTCCTGGCTGGCATTTGTATTGTAATTCGATCGAATCGGGATATTTGTTGTTTGTGGCAAACAGATTCACTTTTAACGGCTGCTCTGCGGCATTCTTATGCAATGTTTGCGTAGATCAAAAAGAAGAAGAAGCAGTAGAAGAGGGGCAACAAGGTGATCTTCAGTTGGAGGCGACTTTTTTTTTTAAAAATGTGGGTCAATGTTCCGAGCGTGCGTTTTTTTCGTCTTACTCTATTTTTGCATATAAAACATTTTTTTTTTTTTGGTTTTTCAATTTTCAATTTTTTGTTGTACTTGGACTTGGACTTGGCCATGCGACTGCAGCACTTTATCTGCAAGTTAATTTATTTTTATTTTTATTTTGTATGTTTTTTTTTTCTTTCAAATTCAGCTGTTTTTCATAATAAGCAATGCCACAAACTTGTTGCCGCGTTGACAATTCGCTCTGGCCAGCATTTGCTGCCAAATCGCATTCGGACTCCGTTCAGATCTGAAGCTAAGAGCGACTCTTTCAACTAGCCAAGTTGCAGCATTTAACTGTAAACTGCGAAGAGTGTTCCACTTGGAAATTAAAGAAAAACTGGACTTGTGCTGGCAGCCAGATTTGAATGAAGTCCAGTTCGACTCGTTAAAGCAAACTTGAACAGAAACTATTTTCTCACTCTTTGATTCTGAGTTATGTAAATTTAAATTTAAATTTAAATTGGGGCTTTCATTTTGCAGTACCTGAAATTATATTTTAATTATATATTCGGCAACTATTCTATATGAAGTTGATTTTACTCGAGATTCTATGGAAAATAAATATTATACCAAAAGACTTACAGAGAATCTCTGTGGTAAAATTAAATTAAATTAATATGAATTAAACTGCCTTGTTACTAAAATTTAATTAAAATTAGTTAGTATTTAATTACAGATGGCTTTCCAGATCAAATATCTAACATTTTACTCCCGAGTTGAGGCTCTTCTTTGTTTTTTTTTTATACCCATTAAAAATGGGTATAAGGGTATTTTGTATTTGTGCAAAATCCAAATGTATGTAACTGGCAGAAGGAAGCATCTCCGACCCCATAAAGTATATATATTCTTGATCAGCATCAATAGCCGAGTCGATCTAGTCGATCTGTCCGTCTGTCTGTCCGTCCGTCCGTCCGTCTGTCCATATGTATGAACGCAAGGATCTCAGAACCTTTAAGAGCTAGAGACTTGATTTTAGATGTAGGTGCTCCTAGTGCCCGCGCAGATCGAGTTTGTTTCCGATAATCGATAACTTACTCCGTTTCCAAGCAATCGATAAAAATCGATATCGATATCCTGTTTTTTGGGCAATTTTGGTAAATAATAAAAGCTACAGTCACCAAACTTGACATATAGCTTCTAAAATATAATAAATATATGCATTTATTGTTGGAAGAAGAGGGTGCAGGGTATCCCCTAGTCGGGAGCTCCCGACTAGAACCTCTTACTTGTTATATATACATTTATATAATGATAATCAATTTCTTGGAAGCGAAGCTTTTCAGCTGGAAGCTGAAAAGAATTTAATTTCCAACTTATTTTTGTTCTTATCTTAAGTTTTCTGCTTGGAGTAAATGCTTAAGTTTTATTATTATTGAAATTTATACTAAAGGCATTTTATTTGTGGAATACATAGACATTCGATCTAGCCAGAATTGTACAAACAATTTCTGGCCCACTGGCATATGGAATATAGCCCACTTAAGTCGTGCAAAGCCGGGTAATTTCTTCAAGTATTTCTAGAAAATTTGCTAGCAGCTTTGCTAGACTTCTTCTGTTTAGTTTGTTTCTGTGCTTTCTGTCAGCTTGTGTTTTAAGCCCTATAAATAAATAGTTTGTATCTTTTGGGCGGGGGATATTCGAAAAAAGTGCTCATAGAGTTCAAGAACTCTTATCAGGGCAACTGCAGTGCACTTTAAATGCCTTACTGTTTGATTATTCATTCAGCGAACGGATTGGAATGGCTTCTAGAGAATTCTGCGTGCGCAAACATATTTCGAAAGTTCGAATTTGAAACGTTTTCCAATTGAGAAACCAAGAGCGCTCCGAATCTGGGACTGAGTCACCAACGCAGCTCAACCTCATCCCCCTCTTTAGCTCGGCTGTGGCGAGGGCGAAGCCCGGCTGAACCATGTGCCGAGCTGATTCCAATGCGATCTCTGCGGATTTTCGTGGGTGATCCACGTGCTTTGTTGTTAATTTTTTCGTTGCGGCCGTATAAATTACGTGTTGAACTTTTACTCCAGTTTTGACAGTCGAACTGAATTAAATCAAATAAAACGTGATTGCTGCCAACGGATGATGGAACTTTTCCTCGATTTCCCAACTCGGGCCAGCAGCTGCCGCCGGAGCCGCCAA